CCTACATCAGCACAAATTAATAAAAACATGAATAAAACAAAAACAGAGAGAGATGTATAATTTTGAATGGGGATTTGCTGTTAATAAAGCAAGCTATCAAGTCCCTATCTCCTAACACGGCATAGTGTTTTAAACTTCATAATTTATTTTACCTACTCTTTTGAAGACCTTTAGAGGAAGGAACGGTGGCTGAGGGGCTCAGTGCCCGATGCTCTCCCACGGGACTGAGTTTGATTCGAGCACCCATATGAGGAGGCTCACAATAGCCTTGCATTCCAGATCCAAGCAATCCCATGCCTGCTTGCTCTTGAACTCCAGAGGCACCGGCACTCATGTGTGCACACACACTCATAAACAGTTAAGACTTGATAGCCTTGAGAGGGCGAATGTCAGTCACACGTCACCACTTTCTTCAACGCGTCTGCCGCCTGCACACTCCACTCATTTTCTAACTCTACTTCATGATTGAATTGCTCAGTTTTCTTCATCTTAGGAAATAAGCATGAAATCACAGGATGGATTTGCTAACTTGTTTTTTTTCTGACATACATTAAAGTACAAAAAAAAACTAAAGATAAATTTGATATTGCCATAATCTAAATCATCTCACACAACTTAAGAAACGCTGATAAAAATGACAATCTGCAACCAAATATACACCTGTTATTATAAAAACAAATGACATGGGAAAAGAGGCATGTGGTGGCTGGTGCCTATAATTCCAGCACTTGTGAAACTGAGGCTAGCCTGGGCTACAAAATGAGTTCTTGGCCAGCCTGGGCTACTGAGATTCTGCCTAAAAAATTAAAATAAAAATGAAAAAATAAGAGGGAAATTAAATGCTCTGAAATGAGCTCCAGCAAAGGGTAGGATGGTGATTGATTCTGCTCCCTAAAACAAGGCACATGGGAGTTCCCTGCATTGAGACTTGAGAACATGGAGAGGATGGTAAGGAGGGGAGTCAAATGCAGCCGGCCCCCTCAGGAAGGACAGAAAAGGGCTGGGATGGTGGTCTTTTCTTCAGATTCCTGGTGTGGGTATTCTGTCGAGCTCTGGATGAAGAAGTCAAGTGCCTGATGAGCAGGTTCTTCACAGAACCTGCGGACACCAGCAACAGAGTGTGCCAAGGAGCCTCTCCTGACCATCTCCGGGGCACAGGCAGAGCCTGGCCTCCCCGAATCTGCCATCCCTCAAAGAAAACATGGGTCCCATGGCCTCATGGAGGTTTAGTGTGGAGGAAGCTGCTAAGATGAGTTTAGCCCTGTTCCTGCCTGGACACATTACCCACCCACCACAAAGCCCCACACACTGAGGGTCAGATAGTTCTGCAGAGATCACCCACCCAGCAGGTGACACAGGACATGCAGTCTCTACTCCATCCCCTTAAAGCTGTGACTAAAACCTGGACTGCCCTTGGGGTTCTGACAAGATACACCCTCAGCTGCAGCCACTAAGAGCACCACCTGTGCACAGTCACTGTTATCTTTTAAAAAGTACCTGCCCCCCCTCCCCGTCCCCCTCCTTCCCTCTCCCCCCTTCTCTCTCTCCCTTCCCCTCCCTCTCTTCCACCATTCTTGTGCCCAGGGACAGGTCTCTGCTCCCCCACTCCTTTTTCTGCCCCTTCTCTCTCCTCTTCCAATAAACCTCTGATGTGAGTCCTGTTGTATGGTGTGATTTCTCTTCCGAGGTTCTTTGGTTTGCTTGTTTGTTTATTACGACAACTAGATTCATTGGATTATTTTAAAAAGAGGACATGAAGTTGAGAAGGAAGGGGTAGAGGCAGATATGGGAGTCATTGGAAGTGGGGGGTAAATATGATCAAAATACGCTGTATGCATATAAAATTAATTGAGAATTTCACCTAGTGGCATTAGTTTTGTATTACACTATTTCAGTCAAGCAATCTTCTGGGGGAATTTTTAACACAGGAAGAGTATTCATGGTGTCCCAGATATTTTTATTCCCAGCATTTCTGTATGACTTCCTAGAGAACAGCAAACAGCTGGTACTTCAGTAGTAGCAATTAAGATTCATATTTGTGAATAATCTCATGAAAACATTTATATCTTGGAATTCCCCAGGGTAAAATTATAATTAAATAAATCACCTCCCACCTTGGAAGTGGATCATAGTTTCTCCAAGCTGCCGTGTGGACCACATGCATTACACATAACCTGGGGGAGGCAGGAGCTGCTGGGAATGTAGACTCTGGATGAACAACGCCAGGACTACTGAAAGACAGTCTCCAGAAGATCAGCCAACAACCCGTACAGGAACGGGATGCTCAGAAGATTCTTATGGACTTAACAGCCTTGCCCTCACAGCCACAGGATCGGGGTTCCCTCAAGCCACTGCATGCATCAAGTTTAAGAACATTAAGGAATGGCAGGGTTGAGGAAATGCCTCAGTGTAAAGTACTTTCCATGCAAGCACTGAGGACCTGGTGAGAAGCCTGGCATGAATGTGCACACCTGTAATCCCATCGCTGGAAAGGTGGACACCACTAGATCCCTGTGCTTCCTGGGCCCTAACTGGTCAACTCCAGGTCAGAGAAACACCAAGGTGGCCAGTACAGAGCATCCAGGGCTGACCTCCAGCCTCCACATGCGTGATTGTGCATTTGCACTCACTGGGACATACACACAAACCGAGGAACACATGCATGACTGTGCATTTGCACTCACTGGGAACATACACACAAATCGAGGAACACATGTTGAAGATGAAAAAGAAGCAAAGTGAAAGGCTCTTTTCCATTATATTTGGCACTGTTTAGGATCCAGGGTGAACTGCAGTCATGAACAGTGTGGGAATAATGAAATTTCACTTCCTCTTTTTCATCACCATGCTTTTTGTTTGTTTGTGTTTTGGCCATCAAGCTGACCTACTTGGGCCGTTAATCTCAAATGTACACGTGTTCTAAGAACTGCCGGAAGTTCTTGTTACAACAAACGATTGGACCTTAAGGATCTGTATGCCTAACAGATCTCATGAGATGCTAGAATTGACAGTCTAATCTATTCCCAACCAATGTCAATGATGCTTTAAAAAACTGCATCTGCAAAAAGCTGCAGCCACTTGCCATGGTGCTCTTCAGGCAGGATGCTGCTTAGTGTGCTGAGGAATTCAGGCCACTCAAGATTTGCAGGATAGATGATAAACATATCCTTTCTTGGCCAAACATTCCCAAATCCTGGCTCCTGTCTGACCTCACAGGCCCAACTTCCTGCCCTATAGTAACAGTCTTTTGTTTTCTTTGTAGGAAGCCACACAGGAAGGGCAAGAGGTTCCCCATTCCTGCCCTGGGATGCACACTTCTTTAGCCACTAAGAGGACGTGCTCCCTCCACCAGAGATTCACCTGGCATCAACCATGTCACCTGAGTGCAGATAAACTTAGAAGCAAAGCAAGGCTCGGTCAAGTGTACACCCAAAAATTCCCTCAAAATGATGGAAGCATTCAGACCTCAATATTTACACTCTTGCTCTGTGTGGGAATAAATACACACCATGTCACAACTTTTCTACAGAAGCAGACCCAGAACACATGCTTCAGCTGGGTGCCCTGTTCTCAGGAAAGAGCTTTTCCAGTCATCTCATCAAGATGTGAATACCCGGTCAGCACTTTGGTGTGTGCTGGATCAAATCATGTACTGAACATGCTGTGCAAGCATTCTCCCCTTCAACTACATCCCAGACCTTTCCTTACCAACCCCTTAAGAACCCTATGTCATCAGGCATTTCTTTTGGGTCACCAACCAGCTCCCAGATCATGACTTGGAGACTTCTTACTAGTTACGAATGCTCTGCCCAGTTCAGGCTCATTTCTGGCTAGTTCCTTTAACTTAAAGCACCCTGTTTCCTTTCATCCACCTTTTGCCTCAGGGCTTTTTACCCTTCTTTTCTTCTGTGTATCTTACTTCCACCGCTTCTCCTGCCAGGCCGGAAGCTGCCTGGCTGCTTGCCTCGGTCGGGTCCCCCTTTCTCATCATTCTCTTCTCTCCTTCCTCTGGAGCCTAGACTTCTCCTACTATTTATTCTCTCTCCCTGCCAGCCCCGCCCATCTTCTCCTGCCTAGCTAGTGGCCATTTAGCTTTTGATTAGACCAATCAGGTGCCTTAGGCAGGCAAGGTGAAACAAATGCGTCTTTTCATAATTAAAACACACACACCCTTACATCGTTAAACAAAATGCAGCATAATTAAATGCAGCACACCTTTACACGGTTAATGTTCCACAGCATAAACAAATGTAACACATCTTTGACTAGTTAAAATAATATTCTACAACAAAACACCTCTAACAACAGAAATCTATTTACTGTAGTTTAAATATCTAAGTAAGAGCTTCAGGACCTCAATCGATTAAAAAAAAAAAAAACCACTGTGCATCAGCATTTTGTCCGCATGTATGTCTGTGTACCACATACATACCTAGAGGCCAGAAGAGGGCATTAAGTTCCCCTGCAACTATAGTTACAGATGATTGCAAGGCACCATGTGGGTGCTGAGAACTGAAACCAGGCTCTGGCTGTTGTCTTCTACCAACGGAGTGTATAGTGACTGTTGACACTAAACCATTTTATAACGTATAGACAGACATTAAAACCAACAGACCATGCCTGGCACAGTGGTATGAACAGCTCAGCTGTAAAATCCTCCAGCAGCCTGCAGAACAGGCTCTCCCTATCTTCCTCCCAACCAACGTGTGTTTTATCACACGAATATACCCATCTCTTAGATGTTGCACTTTATCCAATCCATTTACTCCTGTCCCTAAGGCAATGGCTGCTGACTGGGGATAACTTGGTCTTTTAGAAGATACTTGATGTTTCTAAAATTCCTTCCTTGAAGGGGACTTAAACAATACCTCCCAACACACACACACACACACACACACACACACACACACACACACACACAGCTCCAACAACAAACCAAGGTACAATCCCACCAAAGTTCACTTTGGGAACTAATGTGTCTATCTGTTGGGGTTACTTACAGAGTTACATGGAGGAGCACGGACAGCCACAAGGCAGACACACTGGACAGTCTGAACCTGGCATGGACGACGCTGCCAATGCGGCTGCAAAGATGGCGGCCCTCCCCTAGTCTATATCCCATAGGCCCTCCCTAAGGTTTTGGGCAATTAGGGTAGAATTGCATTCAACTGGTTCAGAGGAATGGCTAGAAGCTCAGGTAAGAGCCCCATGACCCTCCTGGCCCCCTGCAAGGAATGACCAAAGTCAGTAGGGCCAGCTGTGATGACCTTACACAAGTGGGCGCAGCTGAACTCATGGAGATGGTGGTAATTTGGCATGGAGGACACAGTCCTTTAACACTCAGCAGTATCCAGAGACATCAATGATCATCAGTTGAGGAGCTGCTCCTGGCACCTGGAGAGCAGAGTCCATGGGTGCTTCTAAGCACCCTACAAATGCAGAGGACAGTGTGGAGCTGGCTCTGTCCTCCCACCATGTGGGTCCCTGAGAAGGAATCCAGGTGGCCAGGCTTGGCAGCAAGCTCAGCTTGACCCTCTGAACCCTTTCACCAGGACCATTTATCTATTTCTTTAGCCCCTCACACAGTAGGTCAGCCTCTATTTTCCTGCTCTTTCATTCTCCTGACACAACTGTTCTACAAATCCTAACCCTCAGCAGAATCATCCAGCGTCTACATATCAACCGAGCCTATGGAGAACAACCAAGCTTTTAAATAAGTAACACAGTCACAAAGTCCAACATGAGAAGATTGTCTCCCCGATTGCCCCTAAGGTCCTTGACCTTTCTTTTCAGCAATTCCTCTAAATTTCACTACAGTCTCAGTCCCTAACTCACTAAATGAACACTCTGTATAAGCAAATTCATTTGCTTCTCTTAAAATCTTTTGCTGCAATAAAGGTGGGAACTTTTTCACAGTATCTCCTCCTCCCTCTCCTCCCCCAACTTGGGTGCTGGGAATTTAACTGGGGATCCCACTACATGGGGGCTCTCTACTGACCGGTCCCGTGTACCCCACAGGAACTCTTGTTCATCTCTTCCCGCCCTTCCCGTCTCGGGACACACGTGTCCCCTGAACACAAGCATGGCCTGACTGTGACTTCTGCTCTGCATGTAACCTTGTCCGGGACCTGACATACTCTGGGTCCCTGGTTTACCAATCACCTTGCCCTCTGAATCCTCCACCTCAGCTTCCTTCTCCTTCCCATCCTTTTTTATCTGAGACAAAAGCCCACAAATGAAGACAGCGCTCTCTATCCCTTACTACTGCCTACCTTCCTTCTCCCTAACCCCCTTTCTCCTACTAGACCACTGAAGCTCTACGGTGGAGGCAAATCACCTCTCAGCCTTTAATTGGGGGGAATTAATGCACTCACTGACTCCCCCCACCAAGCGTTTCCCCTGTTTTAGGAGCTTTGATTACACCCTCTCCTCTACCTACTTCTGGCCTCTCCTTCTCCCACATCTTAGGTGAGCTATGCCCTCTGTGTCCTGCAGCTGTGGCTTCAAGTCTTATTCACTGGATCTACCCAGTTGCCCAAGGTAGAGCTCTGGAATCACCCCAGATTCCTCACTCACACCAGGACCAATGTCAAAGCCGTGCCATGTTAATTCAAGCATCTCTGGCATGCTGGTTCATTCTCCCTGCAATCTAATACAGGGCACATATCACTGTAGGAAAGATGGTAGCTAAATACACGTGAGCAAAAGACTGGGAGGCTCTTCTTATAAGCAAGGGTGGCTCACCTGAACACAGCATGCTGGGATTCTTTTTTGCAGAATGGATCTTCTAATCTATAAATATACGCAGATGGCTGAGAACTCTGGCTTTGAGATTCTCACATGCCCAACAGAGGGTAATAGAATCTCTACCTACTAGACGTAACACGGCTCAGACCTCAAAATGTACAGAGTACAGTGACACATGAACGGTATTACAGGTAACAAAAAGAATAAGTGGGTTTGCCTTTCATGCCAAAATAGAGCAAGCACATCTTTATTTCCACTGCTTTGCAAAACCAGGCCTTCGATTGCAAATGTCAAAGAAATAAAGTGTAAGCAGACGAAAAGTCAAGAGGAATTACAATGGAGGTTATAATGAAGACATAAATGCTACTTCGCAACAAATTCTTCAGGAATTGAGCATCAGCGAGTGTCACAAATCAGCAGTGAAATGAGTGTGTCAGAACCCATTCTGACAGTCACAGGCTAAGGACAAAAAGCTCCCTCCCACAGAGCTCTGAGTGTGGGAACTGCACAGCATTCAAAGACAAGGCTCTAAAAGGATTAAGAACTCAGTTGTGGAAACGTAGTCTCAATTCCCTGCGGATGATTGCTCCACGCAAACCAGGCACCTTTGTCCTCTCAGAGTGTGGGTTTGTTCTTGCCCAGTGAGCTAAGAAGTTGTGTTCAGTTTTAAGACAGTGAAAAAGGAGAAGGCAGGCAAGGGACATAGACATTGTGTTACAAACAAGTTCATTGCAAAGTTAGTACTGAAAACCAAGTTCAGATCTCAACTACATCTAACAACTCCACAATCTTAACAATCCATCCCATTTGCCTATGCTGCAGTTTTTCCACGCATAAAATAGGAACTAGAAAGAGTTCTTCCTTTACGAGAAAAATACCTAGACCATGCGTGGTGCTATGGATGTTGCGTAACATCACGGCAGGTAATGTCATCGCTGCTGTTCCTCACTACTGGCAGGCTCCTTATCACACTACGATCTGTGCTTCAACTCCAGCCTGGCTATGTCCGCCAGGCACTGTGTTCATAGTGCAAATCAACACCACTTCAGTTCACATCTCCAGCCACACTCTGTGAGCTCACAATCAATCACCAAGGACTGAGTTCATCCCAAACACAACACGCCCAAATGCACAGAGGTAGGTGCACCCATGCAGTGAAATGGAATTCGCCCTTACAGGGGGGTGTGGCTCCAATGCATGCTGCAGCATGACAAGTTTTGAGAACATTCTGAATGAAATATACCAGTCACAAGTGGGCAGATGCGGCAGGACAGCATGAGATGCTGGAGCTGGCAAACGCAGCAGAGCAGGGACAGAAGACGTTTGGAGTGGGGGAGACAGGGGGTGGGAAGCTATTAATGGGCGCAGCGTTTCTTTTGGGGATGATTAAAAAAAAGTTCTGGAAATGCACTGTAGTGGCCACATAGCTCTGTGAATGTGCTTGATGCCACCCAACTGTTTGCTTAAAGAACTTAAAATGGCAGTTTTTGTCCTGTGCACTTTCTAGTAACATACATAAAATAAAAACAGCTATTTCAAAACTCATAGAATACATCTTCAAAGCAAGTTGTAGTATTGTGAACACCAGTGTTAGCTCACTCTCAAGCTTCTAAGTAGGGTATTGCAATAAGCATCAACTTGTGGCTGGCCATGGTCTGAAATGCCCAACAGATGGAGGGACATAGTTCAAAATTTTCTTAAGTGGAATTATGCCATTTTTATTTTAGACAGAATCTTGCTATGTAGCCCAAAGCAACCTTAAACTAGCAGGGATTACAGTGTTTGTCACTATGCCTGGCTTCCCTTTTCTGGGTTAAAACCATTTTTTAGTCCCTCAAAGGGAGAAAGGAGAGAAGGACAACTACTCTGAGGGCTATGTGTACATGTGATACGTAACAGCATCTTTGAAGGCAAAACTAATCCTTACACACCCATAATGAGTACGCTCACATACTTCTGCAGGGTTTCCGTTTACCTGACAACACTGAAATCACCTCACAAGTCTAAGCAGAAATTCAAAGTCCGTTACTGTGACACACAAACGTACAGCATGTGAGCTTGGCAAGGTGGTTCATCGGGTAAAGGGACTAACCACCAAGCTGTGACCTGAATCCAATCCCTTGAGCCCATGTAGTGAAGAAGAGAACTGACTCCCATGAGTTTCTCTCTACATGCAACACACATGCATGCACACCCAATCAGAAATACAACATTATAATGAATAAAATTTTAAAAGGTGGAATACTGCAAATCTCAAGCAAAATGTTTATTGTATAGTAAAGACGAAATGCGGGGAAGTTTAACAAGACATCCGAAAGAGCAGACGTGCAGTAAAGGCAACCAGTGACACGCGGATTAAATACTATCCCACGAACAACAGTTCCCAAGGAACCAGAGTGTCATCTTCAAGATGGAAAGCCAAGGCCAGGCAACGACATCAGTGCTTGACTGCTCCTTGCAAGCGAATCTGGCACCCCTGGAAGCTTTTCATCCAGGAACTCATTTGGTCATCACAACACCCATCTAACTAATTCTATTGCCCCCGTCTGACAGATGAGGAAACTGGGATGTAGAGGCATCAGGCACCTTGCCTGGACTCCCTGAGTTGCCTGCTAAGCGACAGAAGCGAGCGGGATGTAAAATCTAGATGTCTGCACCCCCCACCTACAGTTTCATCACGGCCGGCACCTTAGTGTCCCGGGCGCCGCCACAGGAAGCCCCGCCATCTCAAATACCTGACGGTGACTGGAGAGGCAAAAACAGCAAAGGCTCTGGGGAGATCACCGCAGTTCAGCAAAGAACAAACGATGTTCGCGACTGCATAATGGGAGAAAGGCAAGAAAACCACCTAATGCCTTTAAATCATTTACTGACAGTTTCATTACAAAAAAAAATTTACACATCTTCTGAAGCTCTGAACAGCAGATATCTACAGAGCAACAACATTCGCCATTTATGTGACCCTTAAGAGATTCTCTCTCTCCCTCCCTCCCTCCCTCTCTCTCTCTCTGTGTGTGTGGGGGGTGTGTGTGCGTGTGTACATGTAGGAGGAAGACATGTTTTCTGGATGTTTTTACCTCCAAGAATATGAGAATTTACAACATAGCCACAAATATCAAAACAGCCTGGAGAGGCGGCTCAGTAGAAAAACTGCCTGCTATATAAGCGCAAGGACCCAGGTTCAATCCCCGGAACCTGGGTCAAAAAGTTGCACACAGGTGTGCAACTCCAGCGCTAGGCAGGTGAGAACAGGCACGTCCTGGGGGTGCTGGCCAGCCCTATCTACATGGCAAGCTCCAGGCTAGCCAGAGAACCTGTTTCCAGAAAAAGTTGGTCGTCACCGGGTGGTGGTGGCGCACGCCTTTAATCCCAGCACTCGGGAGGCAGAGGCAGGCGGATCTCTGTGAGTTCGAGGCTGGGCTGGACCGACAGCCTCCAAAACAATACAGAGAAACCCTGTCTCGTAAAACCAAAAAAAAAAAAAAAAAAAAAAAGTTGGTCGTCAGCATCTAAGAAAGAAACCACAGTTGAGGTTATCATCCCTTGTCTCCACATTCACACACACACACTACACTACACAACTGCATGTGTGTGCACACACATACATACACACACCTACCTACCTACACTCGCCACGCTCGCACGCATGCACGGCCAAAGGAGTGAGCAAACTCATAGAATTACATGTGACTGCTGTAAAAAGTCTGGAATTTGACCGCTAACGGTGGCTATTTAGAAACAAACGAACAACAACAACAAAAATAAATAAACAGGAAGGAAGGGAGGGAGTAAAGAAGGAAGGAAGGAAGAAAGGAAGGAAGAGAGGAAGGAAGGAAGGGAGAGAGGAAGAGAGGAAGGGAGGAAGTGAGGGAGGGAGAGAAGAAGGAAGGAAGGGAGGGAGAGAAGGAAGGAAGGAAGGAAGGAAGGAAGGAAGGAAGGAAGGGATGGGATACAGGCTTTGAAGTCATACCATAACCTAGAATTTAAACCTTGGCTTTGCTTTCAGTTATTGGTCCTTTTCACCCAAATTCACTTCGGGGAAGTAACCCTCAGTTGGTTTCTTCTGCAAAGAAGACACGGTAACTCACGACACGACTGCGTGAACTAAGGAGACAACGGGCTGGCCCCTGCTAAAAGGGCCGCCAACGGTTAAGTAACAAGTCTACTCCGTAGCCCCCAATCCGGGACAGCCCCCATCTTCACCAGCAGGTGAATCTCGGGCAGCCTCAGCGGAACCGCACGAAGCACAACAGACTCTCCAGAAGAGAAAATGCACCAACTGCACGCATTGATGTAGCAAAAGGAAAGGAATCAGTGCGGGGGGCCGGGGGACAAAACAAAAATAAGCACCAGAGGTCCGGGCTGAACTCAGCATCAACCGGAGCCCGGCTGTCACTGCCCCCAGCCCCCTGAAAACAGCTCCGCGCGCCGCGGGCCGGTGCTGCTTGACAAGCTTACGCGACAGGACCCCCGCCGCCACCACCACCACGGGCTCGCCCCACCTCCTGCTCGCTCGCCCCCACGCCCACCCATCCCCGGGGTAAAAAGGGGGGGGCGGGCAGGCGGGCGCGTGACCCGGAGCCGCAGAGCGACGGCCGCGCCGCCGCGCGTTACCTGCCTCAGCCGCCCGCGCTGCAGGCGGCAGATACTTCCGCAGACTCCGGGTTACTACGGGCTACGGGGCAAACGCCGGTGGCGTCATCAACGCGCGCCAGTCGGCCTCCTGTCCTTCCTGGGGGCGGGGCGGCCGGCTGCCCCGCCCCCTTGCCCTCCTCTTCCCCCCCCCCCTCCGGGGCCGGCGGCGGCGCAGGCGCGGGACGCCGCGAGCAGCTTGGGTACCCAGGCTTCCTGATTGGTCGGTCGGCTGCAGGCGCGCCTCCCTGGGATGCCAAGGCGTCCTCTCTGCTCTTCAGACCTGGGTTTTTCTGTCTCTGTAGGTCTGGGTGACATTGGCACCCACCACGTAGGTCGGGCTGGCCTCGAACTCAGAGCACTGCCTGCCTCTGATTCCCGGGTGCTGGGATTAAAGGTGTGCGTGCGCCTCTTAGTCTTCAGCTCACGTTTCTGCTGCATGGGATTGGGGTTTTACAAGCTACTGACTCCGCCGTGGTGTCTCAAATAAGGCCCCCGCCGTGCTCCCGACTAGGGGTCGCCCTCTATGTGCCGGGCAGACACTGTTACAGCGTCTGTGGCTACCCAGATGGACCGGTGTGCCTGCCTCTGTGGAGATCACCTCTAATTGCAAAGCGAGTCTGGTAACCTGTTTGTACGGGTGCCTGTGATGGAGGAGAGGAGATTGGATTTTATAGAAATAATACAAGAGTGAAATGTAACACTAGTTAAAACTAGCCCATATTTTTATTATAAAATGAAAACTCACCTAAAAAACTGTTGACCAAAACTATCAAAAATTGGAAAATTACAAAAACAGACATGGTAAACTATTTATTGAAAAATTGATTTTAAAAATCCAATGTTGACAAAATGTAGACTATGAAGCTCAAGCAGAAACAAAAGTCATGCTAGTTTCTCAAATGAGAATGCCTAATGTCACAGACCCTAATAGCTACAACCTCTTATGAAGTGAAAGAATGATACTAAATTATAACTTCAGTGTAAAATTTGCCTGCAGGAAACTGCAACTGATTCTTGAAAAACACTCTTAGTAGAGTCGAAAAAGTAAAAAAACAAAAAAAAAAACCGACTAAGTATATTATAAAATGGTGTAAAATTTGCATATTGAAATTTTCTCAAGAAAATACTCCTGGTGAAAATAATTGCTATTTGCATAATTTTATTTAAATGATTACATTCATTTACAGTAGATTAATACCACTCGGAGTCAAAGCAACGGGAGTCCGCATCTTGAATACACAACCAAAGCTCCTAAAAATCCTTGGGTGTTTAGTTCTCAACTTGTGTTTATAGCTCTTTGTCCCCGGTGCAAGGATGGGTTTGTTCCTAAGGCTTGGAAGAATTCAAGAAGTGTAGTCTGACTTCTGATGGGAGCTTTATTGATGACCATTTTCCCTATTCTATCAGGTCTGTGAAATCTTTTCCTAGATTCCACTGAGATCATGTGGATCAGACTGAAAAATCAAAAGCACTTTTTATGTGTCTCAGCTGGACAAAATCCAATATAGGAACAGATGATGTAGACTGCTGACTGTCCCCCCAGCATCAAATCTCTTTTCTTCATGGGAGTGGAAATGATATTTTAAGTAATAAAATGTCCTCATTTTAGGTGGATGTGTGGGCACCTAGTTGAAGGATATCTTGTCAGCCTCTCTTTCAGTTTATCTGTGGCCTTAGTACTGAGCCCTAGGTCATGGCTATAAGAGAATATGAAAAAAATTAATATGGCAGGAAGCCACAGCTGTTTGGAAAACACATCCTATCCTCCACCTAACTGGGAGGAGGAGTGTTGGCTGCTTAATTCAAACATCAGTCTTGTATGAAAACAAGAGCCTGGGTGCTGAAAACATGGTTTTTTGTTGTTGTTGTTTTGTTTTGTTTTTTGTCTTTTTAAGATTCTAATTGTCATTTTTAATCGTGTAATTAGACAATGCTTTATAAGACATTAAAAATGCTTCCAAGGACTTTTTGGGTAGGGCCACCTATGCACTTTAAACAATCTGCCCTAGTCCTTTGACCAAAAGAAACCACTGCTACTTAGTCAAAGCCATTTCAATGTGGGTCTTTTTTCTTCCTTTCTTCTGCCAACTCTAATTCTAACAAAAAAAAAAAACCCTTCTTGTGGTTTTCAGACAGAGCTAATGAGCAGTAAAGGAAAGATCACTGAAGGGAGAAGCAACTCATAGAGATACCCTCGAGTCCTGGAACCAAAGCAGAGACCTCAACCTACGCTTAGGCGGTAACCTCTAAATTCAGGCACTTACTTTTTTATTTTTTTCTATTTTGAGACATGGTCTCAGTGTAGCCCAGGCTGGCCTCAAGTCACTGTGTAGTGGACAATGAAGATGGCCTTAAGTTCCAGATCCTCCCTGTGGTGCTTCCCAAGTGTTGGAATTACAAGCCTGCACCTCTACATGCGGTTTAAAACGCAGCTTCCCGATAAGGCAAACACTCCACTCTTTGTGCATTCACTCCTTGTCTCCTCCCCAAGGTTTCCTTTCCTTTAAGACAGAACTGTGATTTTTTTTTGTTGCTGTTTGTTTGTTTGTTTGTTT